GCACCGCTGATGCATCTTGTACGGCGCAAAGTTGACCACTTTGTACTCGTCGGGCCCCGGGTGGCCCGGCAGCATCGTCCTAAACTTTTCCTGCTGGCGCGCTTGGAGCTCCTCGTGCGAGAGGTTCGGCTCCTCGCCGTAGGTCACGCGGTACAGGCCGTCACTCGTGATCTTGGCCGCCATGAAGAAATGGTCCGGATGGATGATGAAGTTTGCGTCGTCGAAGCCGAATTTCCCCGCAAAGTCGTAGTACGTGTTCGTCGCGACGATCTGCTGATCCCACGTCCAGCCGGGATACTCGTCTCCGAAGAGGCCCTTGCGGATGGCACTGTTGGCGCCGTCGCAGCCGATAATGTAATCAGCTTCGATCCGCTTCTTCTCCTTTTGTTTCTCCCCATCGGACCCGGGTGTCTCGACGTCGACCCAAGCGCGGGCCTCATCCTGTCCGAGACCGACGACGCGGTGCTCCCAGCTGATGGTACCGTTGTACTTGTTCAAAAACTCGTCGAGCATGAGCTGGTCAAGCTCTTGTAGGACGAGGCACGTGGTCCTCAGATCCTCGCCGTCGACGTCGCGGAGCACGCCCGCATCGAACCCGGTGATGACGCCGTGGTCGTCGAGCCGGCGCCATACAAACTTGTTCAGCGTCATGCCGCGGCGGCGGACTTCCTCCAAGATCCCTGCTCGCTTGAGATCGGGGATGGCGGCGGGGCCATAGTGAGCGGCACGCGGTTGCTGGTCGAGGTGGTCCTGGGCCTCGAGGATGTGAACAGGAATGCCGTGCTTGGACAGCAGTAAGGCGAGTAGGAGACCGGAGGGGCCAGCCCCGACAATCACGACCTGTTCAATATCTTAGGAAACTGTTCATCTGGGAGGGCCGGGCAAAGTACAGTACTTTGTTGAACGGACGACTCATCTTAAGCTCTGAATCTGTATGATCAACAGTTGTAAATTTGCTCTGGAGTGAAGAAGGAGTTGAAGATCGTCGAATGGACCCTGATTGTTATGAGAACCGAATCAACCCCGCAACGGGACCGCATCGACCCGGACATATTGCCAGAGATCCATTGATGCAACAGTATTTTTCCCCATCGCCGGGGTGCCATTCCGAAGAATGTTGACTTATCTGCTCCATTTTGCGGGCAGACTTTGACCCCGCAGACGTCACCACGCGGGCGACCGAACTGCCAGACGGAGCTAGATGAGGGGCACGCGCGGGGTTGATATTCGGCAGATCATTTTTAGATCAATTGTCCGTACGGAGTATATGGGAGCAATCTAGATCGGATGGGGTTCCCCTTTAAGCTTTTGCGCTAAACCTGGAAACCGTGAATGCTAGTGGTAATTTGGGGGATTCCTATACAAAGTCTCATATTATAGGTTTATGATGCCCCCCGACGGAGCAATCCGCCGGGGCCGTACCGTGTATTACGTATTAGGGAAAACTAGGTATATTGCGCTCTATACCTAACTACTAATTAAAACTCCCGACCTTCCCCCGTAGTCCTCTAAGTTCTAGCTATCTAGAGGGCGAGCTATACCTACTCTAATATATATAAGACCTTTTAATACTAGCCTACGTAGGTAGCTAGATCCTATATTATATACTCCTTCTTATTAAAAATTAAAAAGCCCCTTATATATTCCTTTATATTTATAATATAGCCCGTATTAAAAAGATTTTTAACTTTATAAAATATAATTTTTAAGTTAATATCGATATACTAGATTTTAATATTTATATTAACTTAGCTATTTATAATATTTATATTATTACCTAGCTAAATTTTATATTATTAAAAAGTATTTTACTAATCTTTAAGTATACTTATATTAGTTATAATAGCTATAGCGTTAAGCTAGTATTATAAAAAGAAACTTAAAATAGGTTAGAACGCTACTATATTAGCCTAATTAACTAAAGACTTAATATAAAAAAAAAAAAATAGTAAGTAGAAGCTAGCGAGCTAGCCCTTTAGGCTTAGTAATTTAGCTCGTTATATAATTATTAAAAGCTTAGTTTTATAATTTAAGGTTAAGCTACGGGGCCTATAGGGCCCTAATACTTATTATTATAATATTACCCCCTCCTTTATATTAAAAAGTACTATTTATAATATTAAAAAATAAACTTTTAAATTACTTCTTAATTTAGTAAATTTATAGCCGTAATTATTATTATTATATTATTATTACAAAAGGGAACTTAAGGTAAGTTAGAACGCTATTATATTAACTTAATAAACTATAAACTTAATATAAAAAGGGAAAAAATAGAATAATAAGTAGAAGCTAGCGGGCTAGCCCTTTAGGCCTAGCGGTCTAGCTCGTTATATAATTACTAAGAGCTTAGCTTCGTAGCCTAAAGCTAAGCTATAGGGCTTATAAGGCCCTAATATTTATTATTATAATATTACCCCCCCCTCTATACTAGAGGGCGCTATCCGTAATATTAAAAAATAAACCTCTAAATTACTTCTTATTTTAATAAATTTATAGCTATAATTACTACTATTATATTATTATCGTCCCTTAATAATAATAAATTACTAGCTATAATAGTTTTTATTTATATATTTAAGTTTTATAGCAGGTCCTTAGTAATTAAGTATTAGTAATAAAATACTTAGAGTATTATTAGCATATACTTAAAGCTCTTTACGTTATACTAAGTCGGGTTTATATTATATCCCTTCTAATCTATTTAATATTATAACTTTCCTTTATATAATTATAACTTAACGACTTTAAAAACCTCGTACTTTAGTTTATTATTATTATTAATAATTAGTAATAATAAGTCTTAGTTTTACTTAAGTAGTAGGTTATTAGTAGCCTTTCTTAGCTTATTTAAATAGAAAATAGGGTATACTTAGCTACTTATTAATAATTTAATAATTTATATACCCCCTTATTTAGCACTAATAATAGGCTATAGCCCGGTTTATAATTATTATAACTTATTTCTATTAGTAAATTTTTAGTATAAAGTATTAACAAAGACCCGGTCTCTTAACTTTAAGTTATCCGGGCGCTAGTAGTAGTTAGTATACCTCTTATATTATACCTAAATAACTTTTATATTACTCTTAGTAATCTCCTAGGCCTCGTATATTTTATAAGTTATATATTATATATTAATATAGTTTAGCTTCTTTTTTATAAAACTAAATTAATAAGTTTACTTAGACTAGTTAAAAAAGAATTATAATTAATAACTAAATTCTATTTTATATAATAATAGCCCCGTAGTTTTACTAAGCTAAGTAATATAAGTAAAATTAACTATAAGTAATATATTATTCTAATTATCTTAATACTAGTTAATTAGTAATTTTAATTATTATAAAATATACTAATTTAGTACTTCTATTTAGCTATTTATCTAAGGGTAGTCTACTATTAATAGCTATAGCTTAACCCTATAAATTTTATAAAGCTCCCCTTAGAAATTAGAGATAAATTAGGGGCCTTAGTTCGATATAATAGTCTTTAATAAGCTAAAAATAAGTAGTACTTATTTATAAAATATTTAGCTTATATTTTTTATTATAGTAGTTTTATAATAAAAAATAGATATTACCCGCTTATTTAAGTAGTTTATTACTACTTAAATATTATTAAATCCTTTTTAATTAGTAAAAATAGTTATAAAATTAGTAAAAATATATTATTATAAGTAGTTAGGTACTAAAAGTAGCCTTAGCTCCCCTAGGAACTTATTATATAGCTTTTATAATTAGTAATCGAGAAGTCGCTGCCTGCCCCTCCTGGTTTGGCGGCACGTTCCAATCGGGCATGGCGCCCACGCCGCTTTGCACGTGCACCCCTGCCTGTGCCAATGGACGCCGCCCTTAAATACGGCGTCGCCCTCGTCTCGACGTCAATCTCTCGTACCCTCTACCTCCCCTCCCATTATTTTCACGAACTTTTCATCGCTCGGGGTTCCCGCTTCTCCTGAGTCGTACCCTTGCTCGAGGGCAGTGTGACTTTGTTTCTTACATTGCTACCTTGCTCGATTACGCCGCTATTTCGCCTCCAGCTCACTCCCCATGTCGAGACGTTCCATACGACCTAGGTGCCTTCCCCTCCAGCTCCGTCTGCTCTACGTTTGACCCCAAACCTCATCCCTATGAGCTTGTTCTGACTCAAGAGTAGGAGGTCTGCATGGTCGTGAACCGGAGATGGGAACCAGGCTGAGTGTTTTACCACGAGAGGCAGAGTGAAGAGTATCGTCATGCGCTGATGTAACTCATTTTCGGCTTGGTAGTTTTGCGAAAGACTGCTAGCCACAACCTGCCCTCTATTCACGAGGCGCCAACTTGGTGATGCAAGGGGGCTAGTCAGGCAATTTTGCCTTGGACTCGGCGCCTGGACCGACCTCGATCATTTCGCTGTTTGGCCCCTGAGTCACGTTCGGACCGACTCTGAAGATGCGCGCGCTGAATGCCTATTGAGGCATGAGCCTCTTGACGGTTGCTGCACGGCGCTTCATGCACGTCTGCCTTGCGCTTCAGACTAGCCAGCATCCCTCCTACCCAGCGCATGACACCTCGGGCAAACCGAATGGCAACCCAAACGGCGATATGACCTGTTCAGTGCTCAAAATGGCATACCATGCCTTATCAGGCCATCGGCTACTCCGAGAACTATTGAGAGATGCATACGGGATTTTGGGGGGCCGGTCTCAGGTTGAGTAGAATCCAAAAGGGGCGTATGCTTCTGGCGACTGCTGATTGGCAATAATACGACATTGTCTACAACGTTGGGGGAGGAATGTGCCTGGGCAGTCCAGGCATCGTATGCGCAGACATCGGCGTTCAGAGGGGACCTCTTGGTGTGCTCGCTGTTCTGCTTCGCAGATAACACGGAAGCGTTAATGCATTGCACTCGTCGCTGAACATCGACTATTTAAATGAAGGCGTCTGGCTGATAGACTTCGACACTCTCATCTTCTTAAACATCAGACCCGTTGAAACTCTTCCAACATTCAACCCAAAATGCCAATCAATCTTGACAACATTTCATTCTACTCGGCTCCAGCGCAAGCTGTGCGTCCATCGGCAGCCAGAAGCCCGGTCAGACAGACTCTCGGGCCTTCTTGTTCGACGGTGGGAAGAACCTCGATACCTCCTTTAGACGACTCGACGACTACACTCGATCAGAACAAGGGTCATAGTGACGAGAACTCAGTCGCGTCCTACCAATTCTTTCCAGAGGAAAATGTTGAGGGCAAAGTCAATTCAAAAGATAGGACGTACCTGCGGATTGATGAGTGCCCAGCATCAGGCGATATGGGCCACAGCCCAGCCGAGAAACCTGTGGCAGTGGACTTCAACACGCGCGAGAATTCGTCTGAGACAGCGGATTGGTCTGCCAACTGCCTACCAGCCCCGTTCCCTTCGTTGCCAGCCGGGGCATTCGCTGCGGCAATGTGTCCCTCGCACCCAGACTCAAGTCCCCAAGCTGCCATCAACACAGCAGACCTGGCTCTCCTGCAAAAGTCGACTGAGAATGCGTCGACTGTCAGTTTAGAGACCCCTGTCCCAGAAAGCGCCGCGCCCTACAACGAGCAGCTGCCCCAAGTGAGTCAAGCAGCCGATGATGACTTCACGACCTGGCTGCAACATCAACAAGTCGTGCCACCCAGCAGCGCAGAAGTTAAGGAGGCCTCAGAATCCCCGAGAGAGCCTGCTGAAAAGTCAGGCACGATGCCAAGCCCAGCGTTGGCCAAAAGTGGGCTGCCGTTCTCTAGTTTGGCATCCGTAGGCCAAGACACGCCATGTCACGCCGAACGTTGCACACGCCAACCCTTCTCCGGACAAGAAACTCACGATCCGTGGCCAAATGTTGGTGGTGAAGAAAGTAGTCCCGGCTCAACCGACCGAAGCGAGCCGCTGATCACAGAAACGGCACTTCATTACAGCAATTGTTCACCTTTACCGGACGAAATGCACCTGGATGCTGAGACGACAGCATCAGATGCTTCTCCTGTACACTTATCTCGGGTCCATCGCCGAGCTCACAGATCACGACTACCAGCGGGCGCTTATGCTGAAGTCGATTCGGACCCGGAATCTAGCGGTATGGATGGCGCTCATGGAACCAATGATGACTGCATCGGAGATCAAGCCAACTCGACCAGAATCCAGCAAGGGCCCCAGAGCTGTGATAACATTTCTCACCAACGCGGTCAGTCAAAACCCAAACATCGTAAAAAAAACTTCCAGGAGACTGTTGGCACCAGCAGAGCTCTGAGACCACGGGACACGTCATCCCAGGTAGCAGTAGAGCTAAGACGAAGGTCAGAACGGGCTACAAATCGACCAAGGACAAGTGGAATTCTGACCCCGCAGGTCTCTCCTGCTTCTACCGACAACGGAATAGACCCCAGCTCATTTTTTGCGCAATATGATGAATGGCCTCTCAAGAATGCAGTCTTGAAGTGTATCACAGATGAATTTGTAACGACATTTCAACTGCAATGGGAGCAGCCGTCCACAGAGCGACACCAGACGCACTGCTATCCCTCAGTTGGGCGACCTTCAGGTTCTCCGCTGAAGGGACGAAAGCTTGCGAGGCGATCTGCCAAGTCCAGACGCCCGTTTTCAGAACAAGAGAATAGACTCTTGATTCAACTGAAAGGACAGTGTCTTTCATGGAGGGAGATTCACAACGATTTCTCGAGCCACTTCCCGGGCCGATCTCTCGCGACGCTGCAAGTCCACTTCTCTACTAAGCTGAATAGGACGAGAGAAAAGGGCTTGGGTAGGGGCGACATACGCTTGTAAATAGTTCGATGGATTGAGAGAATGGTAATGGACTTGAACACATAAGGTGAAATTTATTGTAGGTCTTTGAATAATGTGTCAGATAGCGTTATTCTTACTAATTTTCACCCTAAAAGTTCGCGGTGTCAAGGAAAGAAGGTAGTTCTTTGGTCTGTCCTGTGAAATTCGCTGCCTTATATCCTCACTGACCTGTTTCTTTTCGATTAATGGTAGGTTGACACGAAGCTGCTAACGTGTATTATCAACAGTTGTTGTTGTTGTTGTTGTTGTATTTAACGCCGTGGCGGAAGGACCTAGGCCCTTACCGCAGACCTCCCGAAGGGTATATGGCGTGGAGGGCCGTGAGCCAAGCCTACCTACTCTACAGTACGTCGTCTCTTTACATCGTCCTCCAAATCATGCCTTGTGGCCACTACGCGTTCTATCTGTCCCCGGTTCCCGCTGGTGCCCCAATTTTATTCTTTCCTAAATCGTCCCTTGGCATCGGGAGGTTCTTTGTGGTCCGCACCCACACCTACGTAGGTGTGGGTGCTGCTACCGCGGACAGATCTTCTGGAAGAAGTCCGTCACGCGGAGAAAGGCCTCGAAGCCTCGTGGGTCGGTGATTAACCTCTTGAAATAGGTCTCGAGAGATCCCATAGGGCCTATGGGCTCGGGCGTACTGCGAGAGTGGAGGGTCGGCCACCGTTGCCTTCTCGCCAGCGTTCGTCGACAGTAGACCAGGTGGTCCACGTCTTTCGCCTCTCCACAAGAGCACGTCATCAGAGCGTCGTCGTGGTTAAAACGTCGGTGATATTGCTCAAAGTCTCCGTGACCCGATCGTGCCGCCAGCAGGTGGTGTAACGTAGCCCGCGGCAAGGCCAGTTCAGGGGGGCTGCATAAAGCTGCCTCAAGCCCCAAGTCCGCGTACCGCGGCCTTCGCTCTTTATACCACCATCTCCTGTGCTGGCTCTGTAGTTTTTCCCTTGCAAGCCGCTTGATGCCCGCTAGTGTTGCTATTTGACCCATTCGCGCCTGCAGTGTCGTTCCTTCTTTGGCCAGCCGGTCCGCCGCCTCGTTTCCTTCGATGCCCTGGTGTCCCGGAGACCAGTGCGTCCGTACATCAAAAATCCTGGCTGCTTCTTGGATTTCGAGGAAGGCCTCTTGCGACGAGTCCGGCGCCTTGCCGCGGATACCTTGTATAACGCCGGTGTTGTCGATACATATGTGGATTGGATGGCCACGACTAGTGAGCAGAGCCCTTCTGAGGCCGGCTCGCGCTCCTTCGACCTCGGCGTCGAACACTTCCGCTAGTCCGAGTCGGCCGCACCCTTGCGCTATGCGTTTAGAGTCTCGATAGATGACGAAGCCGTATCCCACGGCTCCGTTCGTCGCCCGGGAGCCGTCCGAGAAGACGACCATGTGGCTTTCCGGCACTGTCTTTAGCCAGGCCTCGAAGGATTTCGCAGCCTCTGCTTTGCTTTGCACCACTATCTGATGCTGTGACCCCGGCTGGTACTGTGGTTGGAGGAACGCTGGTCTTTCGCATGTTGGTAGGAGTTCGGCCGTCCGTTGTAGTCTCGTCTGTTGCTGTGCCTGCTGGGAGAGCCGCGAGACCAAGGGATGCCGGCGGTCAATCTTCTGGAGGCGGACTGCAGCCCGTAAGCGGACGCCCTCTAGGGCCACCTGAGCTGACGGTAAGCCGGCGTCTCGGAGAAGGCTACTGGTTGGCGTTGTTCTCCAGACGGGTAGGATGGCCCTTGCCGCCGCCGTGATGACGCTGTCGATCTTCTGCACGAGCCCCTTCTGGCCTGTGTTGACGGGTCTTCCTTGGAGAGGCGAATTTGTCTTTGCCTCCGCTTGGCGTCTCGAGGCCGGCTTCGTGATGCCTGCGTACCATGTTTCGGCGCCGAAGAGCGCGATCGGCAGTACGCAGGAGACGGCGGCTTTGCGCACGGAAGCCGCTGGTAGTCCCCTCTTTGTGTTCGTAAGGTGCCTCAGATGTTGAGCTGCCCTCTTTGCTGCAGCTACTTTTGCGTCGACGTGGTGCCGGAAGGACAGTCTCTTGTCGAACCAGACGCCCAGCCAGCGTACAGGTTTGGTCGAGGCCCTAACCACCAAGTCTCCCGCCCTGACCTCTGGCAGCTCCGCTGGCTGGCCGTGTTTCCTAGTAAAGTGGATGACCTCGCACTTGCTCGGGTCAAAGGAGACCTTGTTCTCTGAGCCCCATCTGAGAATGCCGGCTGCGCCTTGGCTGAGTATTGCGACGTTGCTCTCTAGGGAGGGGCTGATGGCCAGAATGGCAATGTCGTCCGCGTACCCGAATCGCGCATCGGTGTCGTCTTCAAGTATCTCCGCGATGTAGAGCAGAAAGACAATGGGTGTATTATCAACAGCTAAACAATCCTCTAACTCATCAACTGCAAAATGCGTCGCCTACTAGAAGCGATTACCCCCCTGAATTTCAACCTAACTTCCTTTCTAAGCCTTTTTCTTCGCCTTCTACGACAATACACAGCCCTAATCAACTTCTATCGTTGCTGCTAGTTGAGATCCGGGCTCGAGACCTGGGGTGGGATCTACATAAGTGGGAGGGTCACGGCTGTAGAGAGAAGAGTCAAAGAAGTAGATGGATTATGATGACCCGTAGTGTCAGGTATAAATACGCAACGCAAAAAAGAGGAAAGAGAAATTGGGCGATGTGAGCGGTACGTTGTTGTAAAAAAAGGGGTTGTCTTCGCGAGAACTAGCGAAAGTGTCACGAGTTATGGCACGCAGCAATGGGCATACGGAGTGTGGTAAAAGTGGCTTCACCTATTAAGTAGAAATAGACAAAAGGAAATGGTCTATATACACGATGTATAAGATCGACACGTGACTCAGCACGTGATGGGCACTTCGTGAGATGCGGTTACTATCCCTGTTACGTGACAGAAAGCCTTGATACCACCCACCCTGGCACGCGATCCCGTGACGTAAGCTTGTGATTAAGACCCGGTCGCAACCTCCGCTGTTAGCTCAGGCTCTGCTGGGACGTCCGCCCAGCCTTCAACTGAGAGGCGGCTGGTTTGCCGCCGTTTTGGCAGCTTCTGCTACGAACTGGTCGCCTCTTCAGACTCAGACACCACGCCCACCAAGCAACGGTCATCCTTTCCCGCTCCAGACATGCAATTACCCCAGAGTACCTGCCATTGTTGGATTGACGACTGTGTCTGGATAAAGGGATGCTAGAAATGCGTTGAATAATATGCAAGAACCGGTGATGATGGGTAAATACAAGACAGAACCCCGCTCGGACCGGGGTGGGAGGAATCCCGAAATAAAGCAGAACAATCACCCTTTGATCGATGACCTCAGTGGTATTGCATTAAATCAACATCGTTTATCTAACAGTTCTTGCATATTGTTCAACGCATTTCTAGCATCCCTTTATCCAGACACAGTCGTCAATCCAACAGGATGTGCGCATGAGGTGTAGTGCAATCCATTTGTCATGCCTATGCCAGTGCACTCGTTACAACGATTGTCACACTATGCTTTGGGGACACTACGGTCTTACCCAAGCATGACTAAGTTTGCCAAGAATATGCCGGCATATGGGGTCTCCAATCCACTACAAAGATAGTCGGTATATCTCGATAGCCACTCATTCCTCATTTTGATCAATACATTCCATTGACCCCTGCCTGACAGTCGTGCCCCGACAGCATTTTCGCCCCATCCGAAATGCCAGTTTGGTGATGCCATCGGGATCCGGGGCCTTCAGCTACATCAGCCACCCTGACAAATCAAGCTCATCAAGCGTTATTGCGGAAGAACAGCGACATGCGCAGCTGAGTGCATTTCTAGTCTGGAAACATTGCGCAAAGAGCACGGAACCTATCAGCATGCCGTTTATGAGGAGTTGCATAAGGGCTTGCAATACGCGTAGTGTAAAGTAGAGTGCAGTGGAAGGGCAACAGGCAAGAGAGGAACAACTGCATTGTCGAGAATTATTGAGAGACTACCAGCAGGTTCAGGCGGTTGGGTATGCCACAGAGCAGCGGCTGAGACGATGATTCATTTCTAGTAGGCGGTGAATAGATCAGTAAGTCCCTCAGAGTAGTAGGCTGGACAAGGGTTTGTCGTGAAAAGGTCAGACAAAGGCTGCTTGGGGGTCAAGCCTCTTGGCTGAGAAGTGAAGAGGGCATGGGTGGCCAGAGCACAGCTCCGAGGGCAATTCGGTAAGTGGTGTAGAAAGCCCCTTACGGGTACTCGCTCGACCCGTGGGCGGTGAACAAGCGCCAGGCTCAGCACTGGGCGGTGAGACTGGTCGA